ACTTGGAATCCATACGAATCCATTAATTCTTTCCCAAACGGGTTGAAATATCCACAAAGAACGTGTCTTGTATCCGACACATCTTCACATGGTGGATGCCATTTACCTCTATAGAGCTGCAGTTGCTTAGTTTGAGCATGACACAAATATCAAAAGGACATTTGTGACACCAGTTTCGAGCTTGGTAGGTACAAATTCCTCGATTGGACAATGTTGACAACATGGCGAGCATCGGGTGGTTTTGCCACGCTCGGCCAAATTTGTTGCGATACTTCTCCAGTCAGCCGTTTCCAAGTTCGATAAGGTCTTGGCAGGTGAGCTCGCATGGCCGACTTTGCAACACTAGAGGAACCATTTCCCTGGGGACACTCCATCCGAGCGGGTATAGGACCGCTCACGTCTTTGGGCAGATGTGGAAAGTTCATCGAGTGGTCAAGATCACCTTCCATGGACTTCCCCAATCGGAAGAAGCCTGGCAAGTGCATCACCTGGATGGCAACTCAGCCAACAACCGGTTGGACAACCTGGAGTATGTAACGCGAAGTGAAAACGTGTTGCACTCATACTCCAACCCTTCCAGGCGCAGCTGTGGGCCTGCACTCTCAAAACTAGTAATGTGGAGGCTTGCTGGGTCCATGAGCTGGACAACAAGCGCATCTATCACAGCTGCAGCTCAAAACCTTGGCTTGAAGAGAGCAACAGTATCAAGGCATTGCCGCAACCAGTCCGATGCAACGGGCTTTGAATTTCGCTTCCAAGATGTACAGGATCTTGAGCGCCCAGGAGAAGGTTGGCTGCCAATGGTCGAACCAACGTCAAACACTGAAGTGCCGGGAAGATGGGTGAGTTCGCTGGGCCGCGTAATAACAAGCCGCGGTTTGGCAAGTAGAGGGCATTTGACTAAGCCAGGATATTACACTACAAAGGTTCGTGGTCGTGCCCAACTTGTTCATCGTCTTGTAGCCTGGGCCTTCCTTGGTCCACCACCAACTGTGAGTCAAACCTTTGTGAACCACAAAGATCTTGACAAAGGCAACAATGCAGTGGAGAATCTGGAGTGGGTCTCCTGTGCTGAGAACATGGTGCATGCTCTTCATACTAGGGCCAGACGACCTAGGTCTGACAGAAAGCCTGTCTACAGCCGGCTGATTGACAGCAATGATTGGACCTGGCATCCTTCCGTACTGAATGCGGCAACTACACTGGGCGTAAACACATCGATTGTGTCACGGTGTGCAAGGGGATTGGTAATGAAGGCTGGCAGCTACGAGTTTCGATGGGCTGATGCCTCAGAATCTAGAGTCCTCGAGGGCGAAGAGTGGCGAGAGGTCGCTTGGTTGTCACTTCAACAAGACAGAGAGAAGCGTCGGCTGCGGTAAAAGTTTTAAGTCCAAGTTCCAGTCAAAGTGTTGGCATTTCCATGTGCAACTTCCATGGTGACCTAGGTCACTATGCCCATGTTCATGTTGTCGTTTGCAAAATGTTCAATGTGACCTGCTTCGGGATCTTGCGCTCAAAGAGGCGTGTCAGGGAGGTCAGCAGCTGGGTGACTGCATGTGAGACCCAGTCAACAGAGTGACAGCCTATTTTTGACCGAGTCTTGTTTCTCTCTCGGACCAGCCCTGGAAATTTTATAAGTGCCGGGGCATATTCTCATACCTCACAAAGTTGGCAAGGTTTCCTGGCAAACACAAGGACAGATTGTTACGGATGTAGAATGCGCAGGCAGACTCCCAGTGTCCTTCAGAATGACAAGGGGCTAACATCGGTGGATTCTGAGCATCGTTGAACCCAACGTTTGCTGGATGAATGTTGGGCAGTTTGAGCAGGAAGTGCCACGTGAATAAGGATTTGGGGTTCTTCAAAGGCTGGAACTTTCGGTCCATGAACGAACTGTGTGCATTTGTGGGTGTGAAATTCTTGCCTCAAGAAGGACCAACCCAACTCGTCTCTGTCTATTTCCTCTTTGGTAAATCCCGTGCTCGGGAAAACATCTTCATGCAAGCTGTAGTATCCCGTGCAGCTTTGTTGTCCGAGCAAGGATTCTCATGCAAGCTCGGGGTCCTGGTGAAATCCAGACGCACCGAGCCACCGAGCCTTTGCGATGCGGATGATCGTGCTCAGGTGGCTCAATCCTCTGGTCCTGTACAAGCTCCCTCCAAGCCCCTCGGCGCATTTTTGCACGACTTTTAGGAGGTTTGGATGGCATGCAGCGGGAAGAAATCGATTTACTGTAGATGGCATCCGGGACAGGGATTTGGAAGATCTAAAGACCGGGCAGATCAGAAAGAATGTAGAGTTGTAATTGCTGAGAATAGCCAGACGGATTTCTATCTGAATTTGGAGTTTGCACCGATTCCGTTTTGGGAATCCAACGAGCTCAGCAACAGCCTTTTCCTGGTGGTCAACTCACGGCTCCTAAGAATGGACGGAGCCGCACTAAGTTGGTTAAAAGAAATCGTCAATCGGTTTCATTTTTCTCATTCCCGATGTTTTTCAATTTACATGCATTCTTTGGACACTCGTTTGGGGTCGGCAGTGTTGATGCTTAACTGGGGGCCAATCCGGTCGAATTAGACACAAGAGAGTATCAGGTTCAGCACCTTGGCCTTCAGTGGTTCGGAGGGTTTCGAAGCTCCACGTTTTGACCCACAGGTACTTCAACGGCCCCTCAATGCGGGGGACCTCAGCCGTGAACGTGTTGTTGGAGCACCATTGCTCAATGCAATCGGTCGACCATGCCGGCACGTTTGTTGATGTTCCGGGTTGCAGCATGGTTGTAGGAGGAACAATTCCCCTCTGAGAGAGTTTTGACCTGCAGAATCTTACATGCGTGTCATTGGATTTGGATCGATCCCTCTTTTTGTTGGTGGACGTGGGAGGCACAGATTCAACTGGAAATTCTGTATTTGCCCAAAAAGATTTTGAGAAAACCGATCCTTTTGGTTTCCCTCGAAAAAGAGATGATGGCCCATGATTTGTCCGTGTCTTCCAGGTTTTCCATGCAGGAAGTTTCAGGATCCTGGTTACGTCCAAGGAATGCATTAGTTGTTTTTGCGGTCATTTGGTTCTTGTGATTAACAGAGGCAACTTTCCATTGTTGTATACGGATTGGTTGAATATGATCCCTGAGACTCTCATCATGCCTCCATTGAGCCAATTTGGCATATCTACCTTAGCACTGAGTTATATACATGATCTCAACACATTACCCTTCCGCTTGCTACATGATGAGTGCCGTCCTTTCAACAAAAACACAATCTGTTTACACATTTGTTGGCCACTCAACTCAAGATAAATCAGAACAAGAGCTTCCAAACCCCTTTGAAGATATTTCTGTTACACCAAGACAAAGGAGCCCTGAAGCAGGCAGGGAGACTTAAAGTGCCTGTAAGAACTCACAGGACACTCATTTTCTGATCTGGGGGAATCTATGATATATCAATATACGCCCTTCGCCAGGGCACAAGCTTTCATGAGAACCTTGGAGGTTCTTTCTGGCGACCATCAACATTTTGGGGCCACCAAAACATTGGATTGCTTTCGACACAGTTCACCAAATTGTGTGTTTCAAGGACGGTGCCAATCGGTGCAACCTGATGACGAACAGAAGCACCAGTTTCACTGGCTCCCAGCACCCACCACCACTTGGGTCCAATGGAGGGGTCTGTTGGTTTTCTGATCTGTTTAAAGGTCTTCGCGGGACCTCCAGGGTGGGGTCGTGATCCGCTTTTTCTGCGTTTGAAGGGAAGCAAACCTTTTTGGGCCAAAGACTTCTTTATTAACATAAAGTGATAAGGGGTCAAAGTGGCAGTTCTGAGGCTTTGAGAGGAAAGCCTTTTGCTGCACGTTTTTCTTCTCAGATGTTCATGTTTGTGTTTACGTCATTCTGTTCATGTGAGCGGTGTGGATATCAGGTAGAGGCATAACCCGTGACTAGCAGCGGCTCCTTTGTAGCGCTTTTTTTGGCCCAAGGCAGGCTTGGACAAGAGAACTTAAAGATCAAATCCAATTATTGTTGCCATGGCGGCTGTGTTCCCTGCGAACCAGGCAGGGTCCTTGAGCATTGCTATGACGTCATACGCACTGGGTTTCATTCGCTGTTGGAAAAGGAGCATTGTTACAGGCTAGACTCAAGCTCAATAAGAAACAATAAGATACAATAAGCAAAGACATACAGGGTTATGCTAAGTATTCCTCGAAAATTAGTAGGACCTCCAAGTTGTTGTTTTTGTTTGTTAAAAACATGGCTGTGGTTTTATGCTACTAAAGATCAACACTGAACGGTGGAAGACAAGTCAATGGTTCTTTCGCAGCGATTCGCTGAGATGGTCAGACATACCGGGAGTTCCATGTCGGGGTCCTTAATGGAGAGCCCTTGATCCACCCACATTTGGACTAAAACCATTCCTGTGGAACTGCTGGTAGTAGTAGTGTTACACCAACTATTCGCAGCTGAGATGTGCTTTTTAAGCGCCGGGCAGTGGTTGCTCGGCTGGTGTGAGTGCGCCAAAAAGGGATATGTAGATGGTTTCTTCTGTTCCAGAAAGGAGAGAGATGGAGGTTCTCCTGGTCTTTGTTCCAACCCCAATTCGGAGACAAGCATTGAAGCTGTGTAAAGAACTGCTTCATCTATACATGATGTGTTCAGGGATATACACCCTTGCTGTTGGACAATTGTTTGGAGCTCAGGGGACCCAGTTCATGTACTCTTCCTTGAGTGGGAAAGAGTACCCAGTGAGTGGATAACCTGCAGGTCACCTTGTTGGGGGTGTTTGGTTTCCCCACTAAAATCCAACCGGTGAAAAGAGGTTGACAATCTTTTTCCAGGGAAACTGAGAAGGTCAGTTTCCCTAGGTTACACTCGAAAATCTCAATCCTCGCAGGATCGCCTCTCACCTTGTTCACCTCAAACTTCCCACCTCACACACTGCGGACGGGCTGCTTTTTGGCCGAAACTTGCGGCCGAGGTGATCGTGGTGGGAGGTGGCCTCGCGGGAATGTCCGCGGCCAATACCGTGGTGGAGCTGGGTGGCCGCTCGCTGCTCTTGGACAAGAGCACCCTGTCTGGTGGTTTGGTCGTGGGACGCAAGCGGAGTTGTGTCGAGTCCAGACATGACTCATGGGACTGTTTCATGTAGTAGGTCAATTGTCCCATGGGTCGTCTTTGGCTTATGGACGTGTGGGGTCATGATGGAGTATCTCGGTATAATATATTAATATATTAACCGTTGCGATATAGTGGTGGGGTGGAAGTTGTGGGAGTTGGTCGGAGGAGATTGGGGTTTTGGAAGAAACAGGTCTCACCGAATCAGAACAGATGAGATTATGATTATGGGACAGATGAGATTATGCCTACATTCACCCCTGAAAGAACCACCTCAGCTGATCGCGAGTCATTTGCCAACCGGTCGATGCCACCGGTCGATTCACTCTGCTCCTCAGGCTCCTTCTGCGGTGGCAACAGCACCAAGGCATGGCTGTGGGGGGTTTCCACGTGTGAGCTCGACCGCGATGCCCCTCAAGGGACCGACCGGTTGACCATCCGAACAGAATGGACTGCCGGACATGGTCAACCTACCAGGGTGAAGTCTACGGGCAGGCGAATCGCCATTTCTTCCGGCGGAATCGCCATGTGCCTCACGACCTTCGACCGGTGCGGGCTGATTCACCCCCCGCCTCTTCCGGTGTTCGCTTCGCACCGGTGAGGCCACCAGTGGCATCAACGGGGCCGGTACGAAGACGCAGAAAACCAAGTCCATCCCTGACAACGCGGAGATTTTCATCGCCGACACCCTGTCGCGGCCCAAGAGTCGTCCGACGCGGTTGTGAGGTGAGTTGACCTGAAAAACGACCATACGGGGGTGGGGTACCTATATGAGGGATAGTCTGTAGGGCTCTAGAAAGCTATAGGTTAGGTTGACCTCCACTTAGATCCATTGCAAGCTTCTTCCGTTCGTGACCCTTTTGGGAGTTTCTAAGTGACACCTGACTTTTAACAGGCCGGATTAAGTGACCTCAAACCAGAGGATCAAAAGGTCACTTGGAAGATTTGGAGGGTCGCTGAACTTTTAGATCCATCACCCAGCACAAGAACTCCTACTGTAGTTTGGGTTGGACGAAGCCTTCTATGGCGCCACGTCTGACCACCCCGGTCTTGAGCTTGCATGAACGAGCTGAATGATGCCTGGCTGATCCCCACCTGAATATCCGTTGACATGGCCATATATGTGACCCCGCAAACCCCCAACTCGGCAAGCACTGGGACCTTCACCATCTACAGTTCTTGGCAGTGTAGGACAGGTTGCAACAAATCTGTTGTTCATCATTTGGCGGGGCATCCCAAAAGACCCCTAAACCAAGGGGCCAAATAAGACTTTAAACATCTTGAAACTTCGCCTATCCAGTGGATCTCGCCCGGTTCGACGCCATATATCACACCGGTCTTCGACTTAGAACCTTAGGAGTTCCATGTTTTAAGACCCATCCAGTGAGTAGAATCATTGGCACCGATTCTCCTTTAGCAGCCTAACTTTGGAACTGGCCGGTGCCTCTAGACCATCCATTCATCCTATGGTATAGTTACTTGATGTTACGTGCCCCATTGATGACCGTCACAAACGGGAATAAAAGCAAGCTGTAGATATTCCATGCATGGATGCTTTCTGGGGTAGATCATCCGTCGTCACGGGAGATGACCTTGCCAGCACCTTAGGAAGGGTGGCGCCAAGAAGCCGGAGCTCGCGAAGGTGCGAAACGCGTGGGTTGATTCTGGGCGGGGTGGTATTTTTGATGCAAGTGTCCCAAACCAATGTAGTCACACGAACGGGGTTCTTATGGTGTTGAGGCCGGGGGGTTCATCGGTGGTGCTCGTATCTGGCGGCTAAGTCGATGCATTTACGGTACAGTCACGCCTCTCGAGATGTTCGAAGCGCATTTTGACTGCGCAGGCTCGCAGAAACTATAGTGGTTTGGAGCCGGTATAAGCCGGTGCATTCCTCGAGTTTCGTTCTGTGGCCGTGCACATGTTCGGACTTGGTGGTGGCCATGTGCAGGTACATCCGTGAGAGTCCGTGAGAGTATAGCAGATCAGGCAGGAACATGCCCAAGCTTGAGGATGCGTTATGCAGTGCTGGGCTTGCGTGCCCATCAGAATTGGCCATGCGCCATGCCTTCCAACAGCTGTGTTTGCTGAGGCTGTGCTCATCTCGTTGCAGGGACCCTTTTTTTGCCGTCCCTCTCCACCTTATAGTGCTGAGGCTCCCTGCTTTTGCCAGGACCTCCACAGCACGGGACGGTGGATAAGCGGTTTCTGGTTGGCTTAGTTCAGGAGACGTTGTGGCTCTCGGGCCACTGACGGCCTGTTCGTCTATGGTGCTGATGATCCGCGGAAGCTGCTATGGCTAGGGACGTCAGCCGCTTTGCGTCCGTCTATGGTGTGCTGTGGATGTGGCCGCTGTGCGTCGCAAACTTCGAACCATGGCTTCCGCACAGTGATATACAGCCATGGACTTCGCAGTGACGATGGCGATGCTTCCATGTCTTGTTGTAAAACATGGCCAGAAAGTTTCCCCTATAGGCCCGAGTCAAAATATGCGCTCTCACATGTACATGTGTGTTCTTGCATGTGATCTCTTGTGTTCTTACATGTGATCTCTTATGACTCATATGCGTGCTATCATGTGCGTGCTCTCAGATGAGATGTTTGTGCCTTCGTATGTGTGTTTGCACATGTGTCGCTCTTATATGCGTGCCCTCATATTTGTGTCAATGATATGGTTGTTTTCGTTCTCCGAAGAATGTTTGGGCTCTCTTGCCGGTACAGTTTGTGGTTTCGTCGGCGTTCTTTTGGTCAGAGAGGTTTCTCGAACTTCTGGTTCCCCAAAGGCTCAGGGGCCCTCAGGCCTGCTACGTGTTTGAGTTCCACAACCCTAGTTGTCAGGGTCAATTTTCCTGGCGAACTGAGGGTCCAATGAACCTTTGGGGCCGGTCTCTTGGTATTTTCGGCACTGTGCTCGGAAGCGCTCACAACCGATTGCTCGGAGTGGTATACCTGGAGCACCCGACGTGACTACTGATTGCCCTCTTGGGATGAAAAGGCGAACACTCCAGTTGGAAAACGGGTTTGAAGCAGGTTAAAACTGTTGAGGAGAATGTTGAGGCGTTGAACGCTTGGAAAAATATGATAGGAGAGATCGACGCCTCACTAGCAATCTCCATGAAGACTCAGATTGGGGAGGTGCCTGCTGACGGGCACTGTCCACTCAAGCCGAGCTGCCATTCATGTGCGTGAATGAGGGAGTAGACCTCGAGTTTGTTGAGAAGGGTTGGCTCAATTTTGTGGAGCGTCCCATCTCCAAGTACATTGCTCTAGGCTCTAGTGGTTGAGAAGGGGCTATCCACATCGGCTTGGGCAGGCAGTTGTGACAATGTGTTGATCCAGCAAATCCATTTGATTAATGATCAGCTACTGCAAGAGTGTTGTAGCACCGTAGTTAGTTATTGAGGATGATTGGTCGTACTGGGTGACGAAATTAATTTGAGATTTTTCTGGATTGTCAGGTGTATTCAGGGGCCATCAGCAACAACTGATCAGACTGATGGTGGACATTTGAATTCATTTGGTACTTGTACCGCTTTTTCTAGTCTATATAGTGGTTCTATGTGGTTCTTCTCAATTTTTTAGCACCTGTCGTGCGATTATAGTGTTTAGTGGAGAACCCCCAATACCAATCCAACACATGCACCGTGGTTCCGGGAGGAACCCTACGTCCCGCCGAAGCCGAGCCCTTCAGGTGCTTTGTGCCAACAGCGCCGCAGACGTGGAATCTTGGCAGATCGTTGCTGACGGTTCATCGTTGCAGGCAAGAAAGGTCAAAGCACTTATCCCAGACACGACCTGTCTGGGACTGGAATAGATGGCTACCCCCCAGGCACCACCTCAATGTAGGCCAAGATGGCATACATGGAGTGTTTGGGTGTTGATTTGGGAAGTTTTGAAGCGGTTGGGACCATGTGAACAAACCACTTGCCTTCCAACAAGCATGTAAAGTGGACGGCACAGACTGGAACACCTTTGGATTTGCTTACCCTACTAGTCCTGTTGGACCAAGTCAAACCACTCGTTGAGTCGTGTTTTTCCATTTAAAACGGACGTCCGTTTGTCTCCGGAGAAAGGAGACCTGGAGAAAGGAGTCACTTCACCTCCCATCGATTTTCCAAGATCCTTGAAATTCTTGGAAGGTTACTAATTTTGAAACCTCCGAAGACTCGGGTACGGTCGGTCAACAAACACCGAGGTGTGAGCCTTTTGGTCACCTCTTGTGCAACATTTTCTTTGAAAAACCAAGAGATGTTTGGCAATCGAAGGACTCAGATCTAGACCGATATAGATATCCGAGTCATTCACAAGATATCCACCAGCAGGGATGGTTTTGGTGCATAGCAACTGGTTGGCAAATTTTGTTGGTTCACAACCCCTAAGGGACAGGGGAGAAAAACGACTGTCCCTGAGAGAGAAGGAGATTTCTGATTTGCCAAGAATTCCATTGTACAAACCTGGTGTTTCTCGGGTGATATGAATTTTCCCAGTTCCTTGCTGAATGCCCGAAACTGGGGAATATGTGTTTTCAATTAGATTCAAGAAACAACTCATTGAAGCCCATGTCCTGTCCTATCCCTTTTCAAGTGCAAGACCTATAGGATCAAATGGTCAGATGAAAGCTGATCCCAGGCACTCCCCCCAGGGATATACATGTGTGCATGACAAAGACTTGTGAATTCATTTTCAAGAGTTGTGCAATGCCTCTATATGCCTCTCCCGAAGATTGAACTTCATATGATATGATTCATATGTCCTTGTTATGAGAACTCTTCTATCATCCCTTGTCCTGCCCAAAGATTCATTCTTGAGTCCAAAAACCCAACAGTCCCTGTCAGAAAGCTGACACACTCTAGTTCCCAAATGTTGCTTTCCAAAGGACAGGAAGCACATGAAACGTTTGATTTGTTGGTTGCACGATGCTGAGGAACCTTTGGGCCAATCTAAGTACCTGCATGGCAAAGAAAGCTTGACATACTGCTCCCGATTTCAGGGGGCATGAGGAGCACTCACGGGAGGAAACAGGAACCTCACCGGGCACTATGAAATAGGATACGTAAGTTCTTGCCTGTGATTGCCCTACCAGCACCTCACCTCATTTCTTCCACCTATTCCGTTCGGCTATTCCCCACCTACCAAAGACCTTAACCCCTTTGAAATGGGGGGACTTAAGTCTTTTTACAGCCACAAATCCTGAAGAGGTCACTGGGAAGGTCCTGGCGTCATGTAGACCGTTGATGAGGTAACCCCCCCGCATTTGGATTGTAAGACCGCTTCAGGCTTGGAGGGTTGAAGTATCATCAACAACATACAGCATACATGATCAACATTCAGCGGTCTGTCAGTGGCCAATCCTATCAACCATGGGATTTGGATGGTTCTGGGGTGGGAAGACATGCTGATGTCTCCTTTTCCTTCGTTTGGATGGCTCCTGTTTGAGGACTGGTTGGTGGACAAGTTCGACTTGGACTTGTCGCTGGTGGCACGCTTGGGTGGCCACTCCCAACCACGCACTCACCGTGGCAAGGACGCGGCGTGTTCTTCGACACCGGAACATGCTGACAGCTTCGATGTTGTTGGGGGAGTCAATGAGCAGAGGATGGGGAGCTCCTGGAGAATCCCACTCTAAGGTGGCAATTCTCAACAGAATGGCCTACCCTACTCTGAAAGTAAAATCTAAAAGAATCATCAAGAATCAGCATGTTACAACACTTGGCTGAATTGATGTTCTGACTACAATGTGACACTATACTTAGATGGACCAGTGTCCGGTGCAAAGGGCAATGTTCCACGTTGTTGTTTCATAAATATCCGGGGTGTACCTTGCAGTTGGTACTGATTGATATGGAGTTGGAGTCATTTTTTTTTAAAGATGTCTTAAGTTGTCTTAAGAAATCATAGAAACATGACGCATGCAACGCATGCATTCCGAGGTTGGGCATTGACGGTGCACCTCCTACAGTCTTTTGCCCCTAAGCTTTCCATATCTTCACCAATGCAATGGAGACGTGCATGGTACCGAACATGCACCTCACACAACTTCACTCACCAACACCTGCGGCTGCTCTCCTTTTTGTTTGGTAATGGTCCAGTCGTCGGAGATGGCTGGTGCGGTTCCGCAGGAGAGGTTCCCTGGAATGACCATCACCTATGCGCCTTGGTGCCAAACCCTGCGACACAGATCGGTACCTGGGGACATCTGGGCTGCCAATCTCGAGGTTTCTTCAGAGCTTCGACCAGCACTGAGGGTACCCATGGCGGCTATGGCCATGGCGGTGACAGTATGACTAAGGGTGCTTTTTGGCCAGTCATAGCTGCCTGACCTCATTCCTCGCCTTGGGGATGATATAATATGTATATACCCCTCAAAAAAATGGCAGATCTCCGAAGGCTTTGTCGCAGACTGACTCCAGCGAAAATCGGAGTTCCGATCCAAGAGGAAGACAAGGAAACTGGGATCGAAGCAAGGATGTTGGGTTGCCACAAGGCAAGTAAGGCAAAGGGATGGGGCTTGGGGCTTCGCCACGACGGAAAAGTCCGGTGATAGGACAAGAGCGGTCTTCCAAAACATGGATTGCAGGAGTTGTGGCTGAGAATTTGATGCAGCGATCCATGTGATTTTCGGGGAGACTTCATGAGACACGTCAAACACCATGAGCTAGCTAGCTCAACGGGAAAAATTCTGTACTGGGACCCCTCCAACAGGTGACCACCTGCTTTTGGGTTGCCTTCGACCCCCGTTCAAAACCGTTCGGATGGTCGAGCGCCATCGTGTTTGAGGCGGTTGGGCGACATGTGGAGCGAGTGGGAAGTCCAGGGCGAGCATGGGAAGATCAATCTCAGTGCTTCCAGTTACCACTATAGCCTGACTATAGCTGGTAAGCAGTGCTTCAAACCAAAGCCATAGACCTAGAAACCCTGGTTCCGCCCAAAAAAGTGGCAACTGGGATCTGCATGGTCCATACTACACGCATGTCATGTTCCTCCAAGAAATCTGCATGGTCCATGTGTCGCTGGTGATGGCTCCCAGATCTCACACCAGCACCCGAAACGTCTCAAAACGTCTCGAAAGAAGGCCACCAGTTCGGAGACCTGGAACGGAGGGTGCTGGTATACGTGGAGATGTATATAAAACTATCATTACATCCCTACCCTGACTCAACCTTCCAGGGAAGTGGATCAACCTTGGAAGACTTTCGCATCTAGACTCGGGCGTCCATAGCCTATGTCCACTTCATCCACTTCCATAGCCTTCTTACGTCGATAAAGCCCAACCTGATCAGTTTGGTTGAAACCACCAGATAGGATAGGATGTTGGTCCACCAACACCTGAAGGCTTTTTGATCACCCTGCGAGTCCAAGGCAAGTCTAAGAAAAAGACCTGTAGAATGATCCAAGTCTCCGAATTTCCTTGACATCAAGTGGTGCCCAAATCAAGGAAATTCACGGGACGGCCGCAGGCTTCACATCGGCCGCAGGCTGGCCTCACGCGGTCCCCGCCCAGGCCTTGATTCAGATGCTCGAGAAGGTGGCCGAGAAGACCAACCGTGCTCGGATCATCACCAAGGTGCGGAGCCCGCGTCCGACGCGCGCCGCGTCCGACGCGCTCCGCACGTCGGACGCGGGGGTGTTTGTTGGTTGGGGACCGACACATGCCTTTCCCAAGGGCTCGGCGACTCGGCTCCAACTCCATGCTCAGAAGGACTGGAGCCTCCAAACCACCCCAAAGACCGAAACGGTACGACTGGCAAGGTGGAGCGTGAGTAAAGACCGGAGTAGACTAGCAGCATGGAATGTACACAAAGAACGACGTCTTGCAGCTGGTTGAGTGGAGACTCACCTTGGGTATTGTAAAGTTCATGGTCTTCCGATGTGCCATGCTGTTCACTTCCATGCTTGTGTGTGAAAATGTCATGCGCACTGGCACTTGGATCAGAATTCACGTCAATCATCGATAGAAGACATTTGCATGCACTCGAGTGTGGGACAGTTGGAACACTCGGGTGCCACACTTGGGTCGAGCGCAGTCAGAATCCTCGCTTGCGATGTTGCACCTTCCGCACTTTTGCTTTGGCAGGACTTCTTTCATCCAAGGCAGAATGGACCATGATGGACCAAAGACCATTCAATTGATTCATGGGGGATGCTTGGCGACTTGCCAACAAAGCGTCGTCATCAAAAGAAGTGAGGAGAAACGCACAGTATCAAGAAGAGAACACCCACACCCACCGTAAATCAGTCGACCCAACATGAGCTCTTGCCAAACCCCTGCGAAAAGCAAGGTCAACACCCTCCAGTTCAAAGGGTCCAATGTAGGGTGGAACCACTCCCCTCCTTCAACCTTGGAGGGTGCAGAGCATTAGTCGACCATTCGACCGGACACAGGCAGAGGTCTTCAAGCTGGTGCAGAGCGGACGCGCTGTGGTGGGTTGCGAGTACCGCAAGGCTGGCAAGGTGGTGAAGGACTGGGGTGCCCTTGTGGGGTTGAGGGGGTGTGGTGTTTGCACCGTTGATGACTGGGTTGAGTGGGAGGAAATTCGAGGATGGTCAACCAGAAGGACAAAAGCCAGACGCAATCAGGTGTATTCTTAGTATCCACAAATAATATGGGTGCCCGGCGCGATCCGGCGTGTCAAGTGGACGATGCATGGGGTGCTTGTAGAAGTTTGCAATAGTTTGCATGGGGTGCTTGTAGAACCTAACACGCTGCCAAGACACCCATGCATGTCCCATAATCTCAAGATCAGTGCAATGCTTGTTCCAACAGCATACAGTAATAGCAAAACTGTTTCCCGAACTGGGTGAATCATTCGCAGATGTGAATCCCCTCTATTTTCGTTGGCTCACTGTGCCATCCAATCAATAAGGTAAGGTGACCTAAGAATTTTACAGACCTCCCATCCCCTCTCATCCTTGGTTTTGCTGATCTGTTTGATGTCTATTTATTCTCCCAAACCTGGGCTGCATCCCCTACTCCGGTGAAGCTGTTTGATCTTTTCCTGGCTCAAAAGAACGAGTCCTGCCTGGAGTCATCCGTTCGCATGTTTTAGCTTTCTGCCCCCCCCAGGAGTTCGGCCCCATGGTCCTGGCCTCCGGTGGCTTCGGCGCCGACTTCGGCAGCGACTCCCTCTTGGCCACCTACCGACGCTCGGCTGGCCTCCGCGTGGTCCGCGTGGCGGAGAAGCGAGGTACGGCGTGCATGGCCGGATGGCCGAGCATGGCCTGAACATGGCCTGAGCAGCCAGGCCTTTGGTTGAAGACCAGTTCCAGGGGAGTTTTTTTTTCAGGTGAAGAACCAAGTTCGGTATGGCATCGACCCCTCCATTCCGAAGAGGAATGCAGATGAAGGAGTGGAAGAGGCATTGGCTGAAGCGCGCTTGAAAACTGAGCTTCCAGGCCTCCTCTTGACGACTGGCTATGCCACGTGTCCATTCTGTGATGCATTTAAGTAGCCTGAATGAAGATCTCAGCATATGGAAGCTCAATGACCGCGCCTTTTTTTTCACAAAACCCAGATCCGAACACGGCGCGTGGACCGTGGGGTGCCGAGAAGTGTCCCAATTGCCAGATGTCCCAAGACCGGTCGGCGAGGATCGGCTAGTCCACAGGGGCAAGCATGATTCTTGTTTCAGAAAAGGGGTTATTGTGTTCCCACCTTCCTGGTTGAGCTTGGCACCAGTGCCCATTCAAGCATTTGTGCAGAGCCGGCGGGTTTCAGGCGTGAGGGAAAGCATGGGACTTCCTATTGTTTCCTTCTTTCTTGATGGTACTGGAAATCCACGAAGGCCCTGACCTGTGCCAAGGCCCTGACCTCTTGCACTTGCCCACCACCAACGGCGAGCACTGCACCGGCGACGCCATCAAGATGGGCGAGGCGATCGGTGCCGCGACCATCGACCTCGAGTGGGTCCAGGCGGGGAACTCGGACGGAGCGCGGCACGGGCGGTGCCAATGCTGTGAGAGAGGCGTTTTGAAATGGATGGATGTAAAGCCAGCGGTGTCTTTTCAAAGGAAAGGGAGGTGAAAGGTGATGAAAAAGCACGGGCTTGAAGTTCAGCGGAACATGGTGGAAGGAGAAGAGACATGGTGAAAGACTGTGGTGAAACACTGCATGGATTGCATTTAAGGGTTGAGTTTAAAGGTGTAACTAGGGGGGGTTGAGGAAGGAAAACCAGCATTGAACCTTGAGCGAAGTTTTCAAAACAAAACTACGACTCCCAGACAAGAGACTTTGCAAGATGGCTTGGGCCTTGAACAAAGTTGGCCTTAAATGCAACTACAGCACTAGCCGCGGGCAACAAAATGGGCCTTGCTAAGCTTTCTGGGAACAAAAACTAGGTGCTTCATGGATTGAAACAGTTCGAACTCCAGTTTTCAGGAAACAGGTTTTGCGCATGATTGAGCAAAGGTTCTGATAGGTCATCGTTCGACCTCAAAACCGAACCCCATGTGGCCACCTAGAACCAACATACACACACCAGGTCCTTCAAAAGCCCCAACCTACCTACTGCCGTCTCAGCACGCCCAACCCCCTGCGCACCGTTTTTCCGAGGTGCATCCGACTGGCTTGGTGAAGCCGGATGACCCAGATGCCAAGGTGAGGAGTCGGACGGACGGACGGACGGACGGACGGACGGACGGATGGATGGATGGATGGGGGCCGATGAGGGGGTGTCCTAGCAGTTAGGAGCACTACCAGGTAGCTGTTGATTGGGTGAATGAATGCAGAGTATTTGGGGATGCTTTCAGACGAAAGAATGGTAATCCCGGACACGAAAGTGAGTTTTTTGCTTCCGTGTGACGCGATGACATGGTGAAACTATTCCAGATCTGGGTTTCTTTCCAGATGAAGGGGATGATGTTGACCTTTTTGGGGATGATGTTGATGTTCGCCTTTTGGTCAAGTGGCTCGCGATGTCGCGATGGCGGATTTCTGCAGAGCTACGGCCCAAGCACGCACAGGGACGTGATGTTCCTTTTTCGTTTCCACGAAACTGGGGCATATAATGCGGCGGTATATATAATTAGTTTGTTGCCTTTAATCTATTCTGTTTCAAGTAAGTTGAGCGCATTGAAACCACCAACCACCTGGAACCACCGTTCCAGCCAGAAACAATGGGATGTCTCGCCAGTCCCAGCCATATTGGAATGACCATTTGTTTCCGTTTGGCACTGGGTTTCCAGGCAAAGATGTTGCTGGGCAAAAGCCGGGGGGTCTCTGTTTGACCGCCGAAAACATCACAGATTCCTCTATGTTCGGGAGGTTTTTCAACTTCTATGGAAGGTTCTGTGGGGGTTGAGTTCCTCACAGCCTCCCGTTTGGCGCTCGCGGGCCTCCGCCATTGGCGCGAGGTGAAGTTCCTGGCCGCCGAAGCCCTGCGCGGCGTGGGCGGGCTGGTCTTGGACGCTAATGGCCAGCGCTTCTGCAATGAGCTGGGCCGCAGGGACTATGTGACTGGAGAGATGTGGCGTGGAGATGGAGGGAGCGACCGACACCGGAGTGACACCCTGACACCTGTGTGTTTGGTCGTTGTTTCGTTGTTCAGATTCTGGTTTTTGGAGACCCCTTAACCTCTAATTAGGCCATTTATAGGACTTATAGGCACCTCTATCGTCCTGGCATATGACGTCTTTCTTGGATCTGGGTTGACGTGGGTTGGGTCCAAAAAACTGGAACTGCTGGCCAGATGAAGTCGGGGAAGAGCCCGCCAGAACTATCCTGATATATGCTTAACCTGCAGACCTGTTCAAAGGGCATTTGGGTGAACCTGTCTTTCCCGTCGAAAGCAGGGAATGCCAGGCGGAGTCCCACTCTAAAAGAACCACATGTTGGTTGTTCTAGCTTGCAAGGGAATTCCCGAACTGAAAGTTTTGGCTGTCTCGACTGTCATTGGATGATCCTGTCGAACTTCCTTTTCGAAGCTGAAGCACAAGAGGGATTCAGGCCAGTAAATCAATGCTGGGCCATGAATGAAAACGCCTCGGGGGAGCTGCCTGAACGACTTGTCCCGAACGTTAAACTTGGAACGACTTTCCACTGCCTAAGGTGGAAGAACAAGCCCCCTTTCCGTCTGTGCCTGAACCGCGCTGCGGCCGATGAGATCATCTGGCACGCGAAGCATTACACGGGACGTGGTGTGACCTGGTTGGACCATGGAAGTGGGGCCGGCCCTATAGATACTATAGCCTATAGCCCTTTGTTTTTCTCGGCCTGGGAAGACATCTTCCTCACCTGAGTGGAGGGAATTGGTGATGAAACAAGTGGTGAAGTTCGTCCAAAAAGGAAACTCACCTGTTTGAAACCTGGCCTGTTTTGATCGGTGCAACGAATGATGGGCTCTTTTTGTGAACGAGGCGTTCCTTTTCGATCTATACACGTCTACTACTGCATGGTAACGTCTACTGCGATGTGAGCTCTTTTTGGGGGGGACAAGAAAGCTGTCATGGTTCTCTTTTTTTAAGTCGGATGAGCCCTTCAGTGCCTCCGAGGTGATGAAGTTCTACCCCACCGGTGAGGACTTGGCCAAGGTGCGGCTGGTGACGGGAAGTCAGTGAGTTTGTGCAGAGGTACTGGAGGTTTGACCATTCGAATTGATTCAATGCGCTAGCGCAGCACCAGTTTGGTAGGGAAGAATCTCCCAGTACTACTCTTTTGTGACATGTTTCTCAATCTGTTTCAACTCACGGTTCTGAGTTCCTTTGGTGAAAACGCCTTGCCGTGGACGCCTGCGATACGCCTCGCCCGGTGGGACGTTGCACCGACGTGACGTCCACGGTACACAGATACCGGCAAGACCGGAGGGTCAGACCGTCTCTGGATCTGACGCTTCAGACCCAGCAGAAAAAGAGCCCCCTCCTCCTCCCACTGTGGATAGCATGGGGCATGAAAGTGGATAGCATGGGGCAAGGGGGGGACTGCATGGCACAGCACTTGAAAGACCACGATATCTCCTTGACCTACCCAGGAAAAGTGGAGAACCTGCAAAACCTTCTTTGGGGGGCTGGTTTCCCCACTACAAACGAACCAGGTCAGAAAAAGCATGAAAACGCCATGGGTCTTGTGCTCTAGCTCAGCAATTCTTAGTGCAACAGATGATATCGGTGCTGAGGTTTTCCACGAGCCGGAGCTACCATCCATTTGCAGGACTCTCTCTCCCTGGCCCCCATGGTCCTGGCCGCCGCAGGACATGGGTGTGCCCATTCAGACCTTGATTGACACCCACCAGAAGCACTTCGAAGCCGCCAAGAAGCAGGAGAAGGACCGACCCGATGCCATTGGAAGCAGCGCGTTTTCGTCGGTCCTGCAGACCTGCAGACTGGACGCTTGCGCCGCGCCTTCGCTCGCGTGGAGGACGGTTGAAAGGAATGGCAGACATGGGACTGGATGATATAGCCTCCCTCCAAAAATCATGGAAGTTGACCAGCAATTCCACTTAGAGGAAAATGGTCTTCCAGGGATCTACCTTCCACTTCCATGATGACTTCAGGGAGTGTATGCTTAAGTTGATCTCCCAAAGCACCCCAATTGAACTCCCAACCTCCCGTCGACGGGTCGTGTGACCAGGAACGCATTTTGTGACCGGACCTTTTCGAAAAGGAGTCTATCACAATCCGAGAGGACTGGTCGAGGTGAGAAAAGTGATTGGTGTAGTAGTCACTTATATATATATATTATATATACATGGGGTTTGTCCGTTCTTACCTGTAACAGTCCGAAAACAAGAACATCACTACGATAGTAAGGCTTTTATTAACCGTCATCCCACTGTTACTGGAAATAGGATACCCCATATATATATAATTATATATACACATACAGTTACAGTGTATATATATATATACATGCATGTATACACTGTGATACAATTATGGTTATTGATGATCTACTGATGGGGTATCGCTTGTGATATCGTATGATACACACCAGTCAGAGTGCAGCAGCAAATCCATTCATTTCCCCAAACCTGGATTGAGAGCCCTTTCTTTAAAACAGCTGATTCTTCGAAGTCATTCCTCCGTCCACTAGCCTGGCTAGGATCCCATGGGCTTGAGCCCCTGCTGGCTAAAATTTTTAGCCAGCCAATGTGTGATCTGGGGATGGATAATTCTTACAGAATCGAGGTTGTACAAAACATTTCTGAGGTTGGGTACCTTTCGCTAGTTGAGCCATATTGAGGAGATACAAGTACCCTAGATCAGGACCTTGTATATACTACTCAGGTGTTGGCTACCTATTATTTTAGCCAGGCCAGCGGCCATGCAATGGATTTTAGCCATAGTGTATTTTGGGCACATCGTGTTGACAAAGTGGTCATGTTCAAACGCTTGCCATTGCTTTAGGTAGGCAGCAGGGGTATTCATTCTTCTTGTTTGGATTGTGTGGAAATGTGACAAGGATGTGGTAGGTTAAAGGTGATGTCCAAGACCTTCAAGATGTTCAAGAGCTAGACATCTCCAAAACTCCAGGTGGGAGGATTTCAGCCTTTGAGGTCAAGTCTTGCCAGGGTGTTTCGCAGTGTGTGATTGGTGTGTGTGTTGTCCCAAGGAGTCACACTACAAAAACCAATTACAAACCTCACTGAGGTGAATTTCAACAAATTCTGGAACAGACATGTGGTTTTGTTGTGGTGCTGCTGGATATTTGTTTATGAATGTTCTGGTAGCTATTGTTTGGCCAAATGGCTTGTCAATGCTTCATGGTTGGTGTGTAGGCAGCAGGGGTATTCTTCTTGTTTGGATTGTGTGGAACTGTGACAAGGATGTGGTAGGTTAGAGTAGGTGATGTCCAAGACCTTCAAGATGTTCAAGAGCTAGACATCTCCAAGACTCCAGGTGGGAGGATTTACTGTAAGCCTTTGTGGTCAAGTCTTGCCAGGGTGTCGCCAGACACAGTTTGTCACATGTCAATTTGGTTGGGTACCTATATGTTTAACTGTTGGTGGCTAAACTTTTTAGCCAAAAAAGAGGTTGGGTCCATGGTCGTTTAGCCATGGGTCCCTGTGTGCAACACATGGGGTTGGGTCCAGAACTTTCTGGCTAAATTGCTCCTGGTAGTTCATCGTACCTTGGGTCCCACTTCATTTAGCCAGAGGTTGAGGGACCCAAGGGGATCGGATAGTGTGTAGTGAGCCGGGGATATTAGATCAGGATTTTGGAACAGACCTTGTTCGAACTTTTCCCCTGGCCCATGGCCTCATGTTGACACAGTTGCTGCGACCCAAACCCGGAGCCAAGGGCCAACACCTGCCAGCACGTGCCCACACCCGACTCTGCAGTGACTTCCAAAAAATTGCAGCTGGTGATGGTGGCTCTGTCCGTCAGCGTGGTCCGTCGCCCCCCCCACCGTGGTGTGACGCATGTTTTGAGCCGCTTCAGGACCCGGACGGTGGCCCTTTGCCAGCCTACCCCAGTGGTAAGACTTGGGATGAGCCCAGTGGAAAGACCGGCAGCGGGAAGAAGTTCTTTCACAACATCATCGATGGATCCAAGGTTTTTCGGTTTTTTTGCCGCGTCGGTGTGAAGTATCAGATGCGACTCATGGGACTGGTGCCGGCACATGTGCACTCATGGGACCCTCAACGGTTACCCCAATGTAGGTATCTGCAGTATCCCGTGTTCAGTTTGAGAATTTGGGACTGGAAAGTCCAATCTACTCGTAGATGGAAAAGCAACCTGAAACAGTATTTCAAGACCATGTTTGTTTCCTGAACGCTCCGTAGGACTGGCATAATTCCATGATTATCGATGAATGTTTTTAGACGATTAGATTTAGATGCAGATCTTGGTTTTGCGCAGGGTGGCATCTTCCCCAATGGGGTGAATCCATGTGGAAGATGTATCCTTTTCTGACCGGTTCTTGGACAGCAGCACATCCCAACCACCTCCTGAGAAGATGGTTGGGGTGGGTGCCAGGGGGGTCTAACCACCTTCTGAGGATATGGTTGGAACCCTAAGGAATTAAGAGATACTTCAGTGCGACATTTCATGAGACTTGCAGATTAATGACCAATCCATTGGTCGTGTTACGGCAAATGGGGCTTGCTCGGCCATCCACATGGTCGGAGCCTGGACCTGTGCGCCGGGCGCTGCCCAACTCACGGCGCAGGGCGGCTGCGCAGGGTGCGCAGCTGGGCATCCTCTCAGCTTTCGGACAAAAGAATGCCCAGGCGTTCTGAACACCAGAGAGGTTATATATTATAAGTGACCTGAAAAAGGACCATATAATATAGACTGGGATAGTCTTCTTGGGGCTCCCTCAACCTGGGAGCAGGCAGGGGCCTTGGAACAGATAAACAGATCCGTCGACCGAGTTCCATCTCAGGTGACAAGGTTAGTTTTTTGTAATATATCTTCCTAATTCGTAGTTTGGCCAGATTGGCTGATCAGTCACTGATCAGTCAGTTTTGCCCAGATGTGCATTCAACGATTTCCCAAATCGAAAACCACACCCCATGCTATCCCAGGCCTATAGAAAGTCTCGCCTTCCGATACGTCCTGTTCGTCATGCTTCGGACGCCCCAGGTTGCATCTGAACCCTTTTATGTGGCGATCATCACCCCTGCCTCTCGACAACACGAAGACGCGAACTGGGAGATGTGAATGCTTCTTCGGGACATGTGAAGCCTCGCTTTCTTGAGCACCCGTCAATGTCAAAATGTTTTGAATCCAGTGTGCGCTCTTTACGCCACATTTTCAAGAAAACAAACGCATGACAGGTTGAACAAGCGAGCAATTGAACCAGTGGTTTTGACTTCAGCTGCCCTGCGAAAAGATCCCGCCGGCTTCCGTCCCTCCCTTCTCAGAAAGTCGGATCCTGGGATGGATTCCTTGAGATACGTGCCTTTGCCAAAGCTCAGAAATATAATGTTTTGGTCATTGACACCGATGCCGGTAAGGCTTTCAAATTCCATGGAGGTGACGACACAAGCTGAAGTTTGCGGCAAGACACTATGAGTGGGTCAAGTGCGATTCAGCAGCAATTGCAGACCTTTGGCTTCGCGCTGATGTCCGGCAGCCACACGGACACCGCGGAGCAGCCAAGTCCATGTCCTCGCTTCACCTGTCTGACTTTGCAGATGGGTGTACCTCACAGGCAGGCCAGACCCCAGCCGGAAGCAAGAGATCGCTTCAGTCGTCCAAGTTTAAGAGCTCAGCCAGTCGCAAAACGCGTGCTTCGCCTTTGCTGAAGAACCGTTCCAAACGATTTCAGACGGATGAAGTCGGTTCCCTGCACTTGTCGCAATTCGCTGAAGCACCATGACTCTCTTCAACGGGTATGTGAAGCACCCAAAGGAGCCCCGAAGCCGTTTCCATCAAAGGCGAGATCTTCTACCTGTCGCTGCAGCCCAAAAGGGCATTGCGCTGGAGCGCGGCGGCTGGCAATGTGGGTGGTGTGACCAGCGCCTGCCACCTTTGCCTTTGCAGCGGCGCCCGAAGGTGCCGACCTCCGCACAAATGCTTTGACCCTCCTGCCCAAACTTGGGGGTCCTAGCAAGGTGTCGCATGCCAAGGTGATCTCTCATGTCTACTACCTGCACGGCCTTCTCGAAGGGTTTCGTAAAACCTCTCCTCACAAGATCCAGATCCTAGGCAAACAGGGTGTTGCGGCCCAGTACGCCTGCAAAGTTTGCTGCAACCACTGGTCCAGGATGGCTCACCTGCGGAGTCACCATGAACGCGGTCCTACTTGTGGCAAATCTTTGAGAGCCTCGAACCTCAAAGCCAAAGGTCCTGTAGTTGCTCGCCAGCCGGCGAAGATCCGAAGCCAGTTCCATAAAGTTTGCGGCCTGTCCACCGAAGAGTCCAAGCAAGTTTGCAAACCTAAGAAGCGTCGTAGTAGCCCGTCCATGTCTTTCCGTGCAGCCCCTCGTCGGTCCGACCGTCCTGTTCCTCGAGCCAAGACGTGGCTCAGGGATTTGTGCGCCGAGGGCATCGAGCCCAATCCGGGACCGTCGGGTTCTTGTTCCAAGCAGACCTGTTGGTCCATTAATGTTGATGGGGCTTCTAACGCATTCGGGTTTCGTGATTCGATTGCAACGCAGCGCCCTGCTATCGTGTGCCTTCAAGAGCTTAATTTCAACAAGCGAGCAATTGAACCAGTGGTTTTTACTTCAGCTGCCCAGTGGTTTTGACTTCAGCTGCCCTGCGAAAAGAACCCGCCGGCTTCCGTCCCTCCCTTCTCAGGTGGTTTTATACGTCGACAGCAAACAATCTGTGGCCGCGTAAGGCATTGTATAGGATGAACAGCAAAGGACACTTCAAGGCTGTCCTGACTAAGTACGTTGAACCCGGCTCACGCGACCTCACCTCAAAACATTCCACACCGTGCTTCATCAAAACCTTAAACCAAAGTGAGCTTAGCCCACCTCCATTCGGCAGGCTGAGTTCAAGGGGTTCTGATGGTCAGAGCTTTTCAGTGGACACTTCACCCTTGTTCCTCCCAAGACGACCAGGGCGCAAAGGACTTGAATGGGCGCCATTGCCTGAACGTCCTGAACTTCCCAAGAAGGGAAAACTCATTCAACTGCGTGAAAGCGCCGCCTCGCTGAAATCCAAGGCATCCAAAGGCTATGGTAATGCACATTAAAACCCCCTCATATGGAGACAAAACATTGTTCTGGTATGGGTGATTTTCTTCATGAAGAATTTACAGTAATTACATGTTGCACCGCTGCTGAAGTGAAAGAACAGTCTGGACATGTTTTGGCCGTCCAATCTGTGCATTAAATCGTCTTGGATGTCCATAACCTTAAGAAACCTTCAAGTTTAATTGTTGATCTGGTGTTGTAATCGCAAATCCTTATAGCCAAACAATGGTTGTTGATGGTTGTTCGGGATTCAACCCATGAAATCAATGGCGGACCACGAATCCCTCACGAAGTGGAAATTCCTGACCGATCATGGGTCGCGGCAGGTCCAAGTGTCCATTGTTTTAGGGAGGGTAACGCGTACTCTTTGATTCGAATTCCATCCCCTAGGCCTGAAGAGGTTTCACCTTCCATGTTTGAGGAGCGTTCACCAACATTCCGCATTGAACATGGGATCTTTGGTGGCCCCAACCCAGAAACGCGCATCCCAACGTCTCGACCGGGAGACCGGCTTGGAACCCGGTCTGATTGACCTCAAGGTACGGAGACCGAGGGAAACACATGTGCAAAGAAATGGACCGCGTTCACACGAACAAGAGTTCATGCGAACGACCCGGTTTGCCGGCTTGGTGATTTTCAGGTGATTTTGAGGTTCCCGAACTGGATGAATCCTCTTTGGGGGGAGATGTATTGTTTTTTTTTGCGCGGTTTCCCGGACAGCAAATCGAAGAAGAGGGAGATGAGATGGATGTGTTTCGAAATACTGGTAGGGTGATCCCTCAGCCGGACTCCATGGAAGAGGAATGATGACCATGACTTCGGTAGCCAATAGTGTGGTCATTTGGAAGGTCGCTTCCTACCAGAAACATGTTGCTGAATACCCCTTTATACCCTTTTCTTGGATCGTTTAGACCTCTTCATATAGAAGGTTCTACCAACAGCAACTGTCTACATGACTAAGCTCCGACAGGTTTTTGGGGCTCTGTCTGGCCGCCATGCTTCGCACCTTTGAGACCGCCGGTTGCCGTCTCGAAAGCCGAGGTCATCCACTACTGCATGGGCGGGTTGGAGTGCACCGTGGACGCCGAGTGCATTGACAAGACGGGCAAAGCGATCCCCGGGCTCTACGTGGCTGGGGAGGTGGGACCAGTCGAGCGATGGTGCACCATTCTGCTTTGGTCCTCAGGATTCCTCAGGACTAACAATGCCGACCCCGTGGACATAGACCCTGCGTATCCGGGTACCTATGATGGTCGCTTATTGCTGCCAGAAGAGCTGCATGTGTTCTACCTCTTGCGTCTTCACCCTCTGGAACTATTTGTACTTTTCCTAGCGGGATTGACAACTTCAATTCAATGATCAATGATTGCGATCTCACTCGTGTGGGGGTGCTTTGAGTTTGGAAGCTCATCGGCATAGGCGTTTTTGGTGTTTTGACCACTGCGAGTCAAGCTAAAACAATGAGGACGCTCCTGAATCTTCTGGGAACGGACTCTGAAGTCCTCGTCTACGAACCAAAATGGACAAGTCATATCCGTCTAACACACACCCTTCCCAACACGAAACAGGCGATGTTGGCGACCCAAAACCTGAATACATCGCCTCGCCTCAGGCGGCCGGCGGCATCCACGGGAACAACCGTTTGGGCGGTAACTCCTTGTTGGACTGCGTGGTCTTCGGCCGAGTCGCGGGCAAGGCCGCCTGTGACCTGGCCGTAGGGATGCGAATGGGTCGAATGGGTTGGGTGAAGCGGGAGGTGCTTCACGGTGTCACCAAGGTGCAAGAGAATCAAGCAAATATGGTGAACACTATTTGATGGATGGCTTCAACTTCAAGGAGATGCGAGCACCCACAATACTCCCAGCAAACTACTTGTAGTTAGGAGAGATGGTAGTCTGAGGGTAGTTTGAGGTCTCCATCTTCTTCCTTGAGCCGGGAGTTCTTCCGCAAAAAGACTTGCTAACTGGTGAAAAAACAAACTCGTTGGGGTATCTCTACAACCCCGATGATCGGGCTGTCCTGTCTGGAGATGAACTCACTGGTGGTGCAGGTCTAGTCTTGACCATCCTGTAGCCAAGGGTGTGCTTTAGCCAACCGTCCTTTAAGCCAACTCAGATGTATGAATTGGGTTTGTCCGTTCTTAAACAGTCAGTAAACAAGAACATCATGGTTTTAGAGAAAGGCCTTTACCAACCAAGCGGAAACATCCACTGTTATTGGTAATGGGATACTATATGGGATATACATGGATATACCCAATGTATGCCCAATCTACGGATATGTTTTTCTCTCCAAAATTGTGATTTGAATGGATGTGATTCAAGATGGATCGACATGACCTGGTTTGATTCAGCAAGGAGAGGCCTGGTGGGTGATTTCTGGTGAGTCACCCTGGACTAGCGAAGCTGCAAAGCGGTCTTGGCCAGTCTTAGCTTCGAGATGTCTGGAACAGAAACGCCCTTTCTTGTTTCAAGCAAAGATGTTCAGAGTTTTAATGGTGTGATGGTAATAGATCTTGGTCCCAAGCCAAGGCGAGTTCTCCAAATTTAGGGGCAATCTCGAGGGATTTATATAGATGTGGATTGAAGAAGCAAGAACCCACAGGCTTTCATGTTCTTCATCTTCTTTACCAGTCAGCAACTGGATGGTCACCCCTGTACTGTGCTTGCGCCTACGAGCGCCTGTTGGTCCAAAAGGGTCCACCGGTGACGGTTCAAGTGCCTTTCATTCAAGGCAAGTTCACCTTCGGCAAGGACGAGAAGTTCAAGCCATGCCTGTCGGCAGAAACAGACAACACAGAGTGAGACGACGCAGAGATTTTGGACATGGGGACCTTTGATGAGAGTAGATCCGGCACGGTCCCCACGAGAGCTTTCCGAGGTCCAACTGATGTCCAACAATGCCCGCAAATGTCATCATAACATTTCCCAAATACTTGTTGTATTCATCCACTGCATGATACCGCCCATCTCTAGGTCCTTTCTGGATCATGTATACAGTATACAGTTTTGTTTATTGCAATCACTGAAATGGAATGGTTTTTGTTTGGTCCAACTTACATCCAGCAATCCCTGCAAATGTCGTGGATTTTTACCCACCGAATCGACCCTTTTCAATCCGGGGCTGACGCAAAGGAGAACAAGCCGGGTAAGTTCCTGTTTGCCGCTGAAAGGTCACAGCAACTTGTGTAGAGCTATACTGGTATGACTTTCTTGATCCAGAAGAGATACACTGATACACTCTGTCAAAGCAGTGATTTCTGGGGCGACCTCTCCTGGTGCAAGGGGAGACACCTCAGAGAAACCTTGGTCACGCAAGAGTTCATGAAGGCAGTGCAAGAGGATATTCCGCGAGGCCATGTTCGATGGGTCGCTTTGTGTGACACATAGCTGATTCCTGGCGAATTCTGAACATCTCATGCTCCCTACAATGGATGAATCTCCTTTTGTTGGTGAATATCAAGTAACTTGGGGGTTGGAGGAGGGGGGGCTTCTTGGAGTCACCTGGAAGCATCGGTCGAAGTCGAAGAGCTCCAGTTCCTGGGGACGATCCGAGTGCTTCGACCCCAGAGCCTTTCCGGAGTCGGGTGAGCCTCCTGGGTTGGTTCTTGTTGGCCCGCGTCTCCGGTCCGCACCGGGACGGCCCGAGATACGCGCCCGAAAACGGGCCGGACTCAACGAAGGCCCCCCATGAATACTAGCAGCAAGTGAGTTGCTGGTAACAAGAAGCTGCAAACACACCGCGAAACACCCCCCCTCTGCGCGCCCCTGTCCCCAAGCGCCGGAAATGAGGCCCCATCCCGAGCGAGCTCAAGGAGCTGACCAAGTGAGTGGCTTCAGCCGATTTCTTCGGACCAATTCCTGGCGGGTTTTCCTTGTGGTGCGACCCGTACTTTTCAAGGTGCTAATACCCTCAGTCGGTGGTGTGCAAATGTGTGCAAGAAGGCGTTTACATACGGGTCAAATCGATGGTCTTGGGTGAATGTTTGGCCAAATATGTGGACACTAGCATCAATGGGGTTTAGGTGAGGATTGTATACTGGGACCGCTCATGAGACCGATAGGCCTTATTAGGTCCTTACATCTTTTCTTGGTTGTTTCCGACGTCCTTTTCCAGGTCCTTTGAAGAAACACGCCTTTACCCAATTGAGTGAATCAGCTTCAAACTGATTTACACATGTTATCGTTTTAGGCACGACTAGCAACCCAACCAACACGAGTTTTTCTAGACATCATTTTGCCACAGGTGCCAACAGATTTGCCGATCTTCGCAACATGCTTTGACAGGCCAGCTAAGTGAAGTACACGCAGAGGGTATTGAGGCTGCACACGAAGTCCCCTTGTAGGGAGCTTTGACAGGGGTTGGGCCAGACACCTAGCGTTTCTCTCCGAACAAAACTGGTAAAGATGGACTACAAACCATATACTTGCATGTTTGTTTGAGCCAAACAAGTGTTTGTTTTGTTCTTTAAACACGTCGTCCATGCGACAAAACTCTACCACATGCGTCACATGCGCTGCTCAGGACTGATCCCAAATCACCCAAAGACCTCCTCATGCTGATAGATGAAAACGGTGGTAGGGACCAATGGGGGACCAAGCAACCGTGATATTTGGGGACCAATGGGTTCTCCTGAATACCCAGACATGACCTGCCTGGCACCTGAATATATGCCGCTCCAGACAGACCCCGGTGAACCACATTCAACCACCCCTTTAAGCACCCCTTCCTGTTTCAGTCATATGCCAGTTCCAGACGGGTGGACAGAGTGTGCCACCTGGTCGAAGTAGAGGGAACTCCAAGGTGGCCCTGTTCGACTTTGGAGGCCGGGGCACCTATACATCCTACACTGGAACCAATGGGAGTGTGTTTGGGAATCTTCTGTTCCTATTTGGGGCATGTTCCACCGTTTAGCGCGTTGAGTTTGGGGGGTTAAGAAAGAACTCTGCAAGTGGAAGCGGTTCCATTCCGCCGGAGTTCCATGTCAGCAGGTTTTCGAGGATTGGGGTGATGATCAACTGATAGGTCACTCCCCAACATACAATATATAGAGACACCTAATTAACTTGTATTTCCTGCATGGTGAGAGCCATGTTCTTCAACAAGTGAGTTTTTTCCAGTTGCTCAAGTGTCCAGGGCCCAGCCCAGCAGGCTCGCAGCGTTGATTTTAGGATCGCACTGACGTGCGTCCGCCCTCGCCACGTCTCGTGTCGCGGGGAAAAAGCATGCAGCTCGAGGGTGGGTGGCATATGATTTACATTGCAGCACTGAGAACTTGGGACAGCTGTGACATATGCATGGTCTTGATGTGTTTACACATTCACACACTTCTTCCAAGCGGAGATGGTAGGCATACCTTCTCGCCCCCAAACCCTTCCAAAATGGTTCTTTTCGGTGAGAATCATTGACCTGTGATCCACAGTCCCAGATTGACGTCGATCTTAGGAGCTTTTTGATGAACGATATAGTACCTTGAACCTGTCCCATTACCTGTATACGTAGGTAGACACTAACACTATTTTGAAGAAGGGCCTGCAACCTAAACAGCATCATCGACTCGTAGTCGGATATACCCCAATGGATACCTCTTTGTTTTGCCTCATCTGTTTCAAAAGGAAGTACGTGGATCACCTGTGTCCTGCACCCTTTTGGGGATTTGTGGGAAACCCCACCCCACTCAACAGGACAGGCGGCGTTTCGGCATTTTCCATCGTAGCGACCAGAGAGTCTGATACCAACAGGGAGAGAGTTTGGTGAATCCTCCGAGACTTTGCTTTAGATAGACTCCTATAGGTTGTACACGGGACGTCCGTCAATTTTTCGGTGCTAAAAGACTTCGGGAGCCCAAGATCGAAGCCCGAGAAACTCAGGTTCCAGGTGTTCGGTTCCAGATCTTGTCAGTTTGGTATCCAAAGGGCCTATATATAGGGTTTTTAATTTTTACCGTGTCACATTTCAGGTATAGGTTGTTCATTAAGGGCATTTACATCCAAATGCTCCGGCTGCCTCAAGGGGTCCGATGCTCGGCACGATCCGAAACACGCAAAAACGGCCGAGGTACAGTCAGAGCGCGAGCCTGACACCTTCTCAGCGAAGCACCGACAGGATGAAGTCCGAGCTTCTTTTTGAAAGGGTGTAGTACGGCCAGGAGCCTCTAGTAGCGTCCTTGTTCCTAGTAGTACGGCCAGGTACTAAGCACTTTTTTGTGCAAGAGGATATCTCAAATCGTTTCGTTCTGTCCACTGATCTTGAACGATGTATGTGGCCCAGAAGCGAACGAGCTCACTATCGGACCTGCTGAGGAACATCACAGGTTCAAAGAAGGGAACACTGAAAAAGACTGAGTTTGCAAAAAGCATCAGCGTTGTTGTGTATCCCAAGAAGCCAGCGTCCAAGACCAAATTTGACTCAGAAGAGGATCTGATTGCTGCGCAGGTTGGACAACATTGGATTTCAATTCCCCAAATCACAGAGGCTGTTGGGATCGATGTGCAGGATCTTGATTCCTTGAAAGAGGTGACTGGAGGGGGCGAGGTTTCTTTTGAAGGGTGTTTGACATCTACAACCAAGGACAAGAAGAAGAAGAAATCCAAAAAGAAGGATGATTCTGACTCTTCGGAATCTTCATCCTCGGATTCTGAATCTTCATCGGAGGAAGAGTCAGATGAGCAAGAAGATCTGATCGACATGAACACAGATGAGTTGAGATCTTAATGACTGAATACCAGCAATGGCAGGATCTGCAGGATCGCTTCAAGAAGAGCAGCAGTTCTTCCGGGTCAGCAAAAAAGCAGACGAAGAAGCTCTTCACAGATC